ACTACTACTACTACTACTACGGGCATTGTACGTGCAGCATAAGCCTTGATCAGTAGATGAACGAGATGTTCAACCGTTTAGCTGGCCTTACGATTTAAGGTCTTACGCAGGTTTTTGGGATACAGTTCCCACTGGCCTCACCATTTCCTCGAACCAGATGGGAGTGTCCTGCTTGGCCTGGTGGTTGGACGCAGCAACCGAGTAAGCATCCAATTGGTAGAAACGAGGTGTCGGGTGTAGATGTTTATGGATTTCGGATTATCGGGTGTGTAAGGTTGCAGGATGGTTTGAGCTGTCAGCATTGGCATGCGCCAGGTGTTGCAAGTCCTGAAGTGGCACTGAAACTACGAGCTGCGCACTTGCTTCTCAAAGGAATCGAAAGCCAAGAATGTGTGGACATGATGTGGAACAACAGCAGAGGCCCGCGAAGACTCCTCTCCGATGACCAGGCCTCTTACGACTCCAACTCGGTTTCCTGAAAACCCTGACCCCTCGAGCGCGGCCTCGATCAAAATGTCGTACAGGTCGTGGAGGTATGCGCACCTTTCGTTCACGAAAGCCACGGCCGTACCCTGCCAGGTGCGGTGCAACTACACCAAGTACAGGCCAAGGCTCGCCGATGTGGAGGCATTCGAGTCTTTGGTACTGTTTGCAACTTCCAGAACTCCGCCCATTTCTATGCTCAAGCAGCAGCGCGGCCCTCTGCTGTCAGTCTGATAACGTTGCGACAATCCCCTCATAAGAACATTGCCGACGAGGACTCCGTTTCCACCGGACAGGTACAATCCCCAAACACATTCAGGCCTCCCAGTGTGTAAGTACTTGAAATATATATATATATATATATATATATATCTTTGTACATGTGTAGCATGAAGATGTACACGTGGCTGTGCGGCTGACAAGACATTGTCAGCATCTAGAATCTAGCAATGGATCTGTTACATCCTTATAACAGAGTAGTCTCGCGCCAAGCACCAGGCTCCTTCTGCTAATGTTATGGCTCTGGCGACGACGAACCGTGAAGAACCCAAGAAACAAACTCTTGCGGAACCCTCCCCCTATCTTCGTAGAACAAACTCGGGGCCGTCGCTGCCAACCGACTAGAATTTCGTCAAGGGGACCATCGGAGAGTGCCAAGGATGAAGCTTCTCGCCATGCTCAAAGGTCAGCTAAAGATAAAACGACATCCACGGCTTTGGGCTTGCCGCTTCCCCAATCTTGTGGGCCTTGCGACCGGCACGCCCGGTGCGCCCAATTCGATGAACGTAATCGTCCAGCTGTCTGGCCAAAAGCGACACAATGAACAATTGCGCTTTGGGTTGTGTTGACATGGCATAGGGCATAGGCTGCAAAACAGGCGTGCGCAGCGTGCTCGTGCTGTGCGGCTGATTCATCGTGGGCAAAGGCTGTCTATTGAGTTGGAGGCTTGTACAACTGAATGTTTGCCAGTTCGCAGCTCTTTTGTACCCGATGCAGTATCCGTGCCTCAACATTTCAGCCCAGCAAGTCCCAGTACGCACAGCCGTAGCATCGTCTGGAATGCATAGAACATGCTTCGGCAGAGCTATCACGCACTTCAAGACGAACAGTTTCAACCGCATAACATCCAGTACCGAAGCTCAAGCTACATGCAGAGTTCCAGGGCCACCACTTTGGCATGTCGAAGTTCACCACCAACGACACGTTTGGAATGTCCAAACTCGGTACCGGGAGTGCGTTTTGCTGGCCATTTCATGGAAGCGATGTATGTCCTTTTCAGCCTGGCTTGTTGATGCAAATAAGTCCGGGCCAGCAATCATCTCTGAGGCCCCTTGCCCACGCGCGGCCACATCCGTGGCCACGAGGATCGGATTGGCCCCTGTCTTGAAGGCAGCAAGCGCCTCTGCAATTGACTTGTTGTGAAGGAGTGGGCCGTTAAGTCACAGTTACTTGCACTTCAGAAATGTTGCCGCACCCGTGGCGCATCCGGAAGTTAGAGGTGTTGCCATGAGTGCTGACATATGCCTGCGCAGAAATCATACATCGACCGACGGCACTAGCTCTGCGAGTGACTTGAACAAGTCGCACGACCAAGGTGAATGCTGCTACCAATACAGATCAAAAGCCCATGTCCAATATTCATCATGCATGGTACAGCAGAAGCAGCGGCAGCAGGAGTGAGGTTGTAGTCATCGTGGTGGTGGTGGTGGTGGTGGTGGTGGTGGTGGTGGTGGTGGTGGTGCTGGTGGTGGTGGTGGTGGTGGCGGTGGTGGTGGTGGTGCTGCTGCTGCTGCTGGTGGTGGTGGTAGTGGTAGCAGTACTAGCACGAGCTTGTACTACAAGTAGTATGAGTAGTAAGTACTAAATAGCAGGTAGAAGGTAGTAGGTGTTCGTAGAAGAAGAAGAAGAAAAGTAGCGGTAGCAGTAGCAATAGCAGTAGCAGCAGTAGCAGTAGCAGCAGTAGCAGCAGCAGTAGCAGTAGCAGTACCAGCCGCAGCAGCAGCAGCAGCAGCAGCAGCAGCAGCAGCAGCAGCAGCAGTAGCAGTAGCAGTAGCAGTACTAGCAGTTAGTAGTAGTAGTCGTCGTCGTCGTCGTCGTAGCAGTAGCAGTAGCAGTAGTAGTAGTAGTAGTAGTAGTAGTAGTAGTAGTAGTACAGTAGTACAGTAGTAGTACAGTAGTAGTAGTAGTAGTAGTAGTAGT